TATCCAGCCAGGAAAGGCTCCCCGGCAGGAAGAGAGGGGACCCCCCCCTCGCTTTGCCAGGAGCACCAAGGCGGGAGATGGGGGCTGGCAGAAAGGGACAGAGCACGACCCCCCCCCTGGCAGGAGCCACAGAGGAAGGCTTAATAGTCACTAGCATGGGAAGGGGGGGGGAGAAGCGGGTCTCCCAGGCCCAGCCAGGGAAGGGCAGTGCAGGGTGGACCCCCTCGGGGCGGGGAAGGGAGGGATCCCAAAGCCCCCCCAGTGTGGGGCAATGGCCAGAGCAGAGGGACCGGAGTGGGGGGGGGGGGTCGTGTTCCCCTGGCAGGGGTGGGGGGGGTCTGATCCCCGGGGGGGGGCTGGGACCCTCACCTTGAGGCTGCTGATGAATCTCACTTCCACCCTGGCCCGGGCCGGGCCCGCGGGATCCGCACAAAAGCAGAACAGGTCACCCATGGAGGCGGCCATCTTGGGCGCCCTCCCAACTCTGACCTGGGGGCGGGGGGAGCGGGCAAGTCTTCTTCCTCCTCCTCCTCCTCCTCTTCCTCTTCCTCTTCCTCCTGCCGGGCCCTGCCCGCCCGGGATCTGCCGCTGCCCTGGCTGGGGTCGGGGGCGGCTGCCTGCTCTGGGCGGGGAGGGGAGCCGCTGGAGGCAGAGGAGAGGCGGGGGGGGGGTCGGAGCCGGGGGTTCAGTCCGGGGGGGTCGGAGCCGGGGTTCAGCCCGGGGGGGGGTCGGAGCCGGGGTTCAGCCCGGGGGGAGGTGCTGCCAGACGGGGGCAGAAGGCAAAGCCCCGGCACAGGGAGAGGGCCGGGGGGGGGGTTACAGTTTACACCGATGGGATGAGCCAGCTGCCGTGTTTGCAAAAATCGGGTGGTGGGGGGGACAGTAGGGTGACCAGATGTCCTGATTTTATAGGGACAGGCCCAATATTTGGGGCTTTATATAGGCTCCTATTACCCCCCTTCCTGATTTTTCACACTTGATATCTGGCCAGCCCGTCTCAGCACCCGCTTCCCAGGGCCGGGCTCTTACAGGCACAGGGCATCCCCGTGTCCAGACAGGGCAGCTATTCCTAGCTGATGTAGTACAGGGGCGGCTGTATCACATGCAGCTCTTTTACCGTTCAAGTGCAGCCCCCATGCTCCATAGAATCATAGACTATCAGGGTGGGAAGGGACCTCAGGAGGTATCTAGTCCAACCCCCTGCTCAAAGCAGGACTAATCCCCCGACAGATTTTTGCCCCAGTTCCCTAAATGGCCTCTTCAAGGACTGAACTCACAACCCTGGGTTTAGCTGGCCAATGCTCAAACCACTGAGCCATTCCTCCCTTCTACTAGACTGGGGATGGGGGGGGAAGCTCAGGAACTCTGCCTCACCGCGAAGCGGTGGGGTAGGGACTTCTGCCCAGCGGGGGGGAGGGAGGTCTCTGGGCTTCAGCCCTGCGGGATGCTCCTTCTGGGGTTCGGTGCTGCAGCAGGAGTGGGGCTGAAGCCCCGTCAGGTGCCTCCTGCAGGGCTAATGCCCCAGCCCCCGGCAGGTGTGCCCCAGCTCTCAAACTTCTGCAGATTGTCGTACGTGACTCGGAGGGCCAGTAAGTTTGGCCACCCCTGTGATATACGGTGCAGAGGTGCTACAGGAGCCTTGATTCAGTGAAATATTTTACATATACCCCCAAAAACTGTGTGTCACACATTAAGAGTACACCTCTATTCCGATATAATGTGACCCGATATAACACTAATTCAGATATAACGCAGTAAAGCAGCGGCTCCGGGGGGGGCGGGGCTGCGCACGCCAGTGGATCAAAGCAAGTTTGATATAATGTGGTTTCACCCATAACACGGTACGATTTTTTGGATCCCGAGGACAGCGTTATATCGGGGTAGAGGTGTATTTAAAAGAATCCCTTCTCAGTTTATGTATCTGCCTAAAGTCTCACAGCAGTCAGTTCACAAACGTGTCTTATCTGCTGTTGGGATTCCCGGAATTGCACTCCCCTCTTTGTGATCCATTTCAAATATAGTTTTGCTCTTTTTAATTGTTAACTTTTTTAAATGTTATCATCATTTACTTGTGTTATCATTGTGCCGATCCATGTCACTGTGCTGTTTATTTTATATTTTAATAGCAAATACTCATCAAAAATATTTATAAGTAAGTAGTTTTAGCAGTGACATCAGTGTTTCTAGTATAGCACTTGCTATGGTGAATTACTGTGATTTTTCATTTGGAATTTTTAATTCTAACTTTTTCTTCTTATTTTTGTAGCACAAGTTTATTCTGTTGGATCATGTGACTTCCAGTCTGACTGATTTCCTGGCCTGGTGTCAAACTTCATTTTCATTTGATCCACCCTGAGCACAATGTCTCAGCCCCCTGGGGATGGGGAGGGGCTTATTTGCACAGCATCTACACCTACCGATTGATCCCGAACTGCCTCCTTCCCCCACAGCATGTCAACTTCTGGAACAGGTCCAAAGTGTCCCAGGAGAGAGCCAGAGCCATAAGGATCAGCGTAGCCCTGCTCTGATTCACCATCACTCTCCCCGAATTTGACATATGGGACTTCTGACCCCCAGCTTCCTGACTACAGGCATAGGTGGGCTGGCTCTGACGGGCTGTAGGATCTGCTGCTGTGGGGTCCGTGGGTTGGGAGTGTTTTCCTTGGGGAGGTAGAGTCGGAGCAGGAGATGAAAGAGGCTTGAGTCAAGTTCTTCTTTTCCTGGTTCAGTGGTGACCCTGGGCCTTTAAGGGGACCATGCTCCAGCCAGGTTCATGCCTGGCCTTGGTCCCTTCTTGTCATCCTGGAGCAGCTGGGGATGCAAGTTCTCAATGAGGGCCAGGCCCACATCCCTTTGCTGCAGGCTTCTTTGGGGGCAGAGAGAACTAAGGTGTCTAGGCCTAGCTCCTCTCCCCCAGCATCTCCTGCACAGGGACCCAGGCCAGAGAGACTCCCAGGAGACTGGGAGCTGATGATCCCCATCTCCTCCCCCTTCCATTAGAACACAGCACAGTTCCCCAAGATGGCTCAGCTGGGTCTGTACATCAGTGACCCAGCCAAGGACACCCGCTGGCATGTCAGGGAGGGGATTTACCGGCTCTGTCAGCGGCTGCTACACCAGAGAGGCGAGGAAACCCAGCTCGGAAATGGGACCCCATAGAAGAGTGACACTGATGGAAGCTGGGCAACAGGACCCCTGAAGAAATGAGCCCCCTCCCATCTGAGACTGACCCCACCTGGGACCTCTGCCAGAACCCGCCAACTCCTCTGAGATTGACCCCAGCTGGATGATGAGTCTTTCTCCTTATCCCCCTCCCCAGTTTAGGATCAACCCTCCTCCCCATGCACCCAGGATACTCCACCCACTGGAGAGAGCCTTGCTATTCTGGTGGTTCAGGGATGCAGTGAGGGTTCCCACCCATGGGAATGGAAGAATACAGGCACCGGAGACCAAAAGAGAAATCTTGCAAAGAGAAACTGCCAAGGAACAGCTTCAAGGGGAGGATTAAAGGGAGCAGGCAGGAGCTCCCCCTGCAATAGGGTGGGGGTGTTTGGCACTGGAGGTCACTAGAGAGGAAGACAAGAGTCAGTTCCAGGGTTCCAGTTGCCATTAATCTCCCCTGATTCCTGGAGGCATCCATGTCTCTGACAGGTTCTTGTTCTCTTGAGGCACGGTCAAGGTGAGGCACCAGCTCTGCACCCTCTGATCCTTTCACCAAGTGCCCACGGCTCTGCAGGGACTGTGCCTCTTAGGACACCTGCAATCAGGGCCACCTAGAGGATTCAGGGGGCCTGGGGCAAAGGGGGGGAGCTGCGGCGCTTGTACTCACCCGGTGGCAGTCCGGGTCTTCAGTGGCGTTTCGGCAGCGGGGGGCCCTTCAGTTGCTCCACGTCTTCAGCAGCACTGAAGGACCCCCCGCCACCGAAATGCCGCCAAAGACCCAGACCACTGCCGGGCCAGGACTTGCAGGGCCCCTGTGGGGCCTGGGGCCTGGGGCAAATTGCCCCACTTGCCCCCCCCCTCTGGGCGGCCCTGCCTGCGATGGGGTGTATAACCCCACACTGGGCCAGGAGGGTTTAGGGAGCAGTCCTGGGCTGCTGTAATCTCCCCACTCCCCCCCACCCGCCCCGCACCTGCAGAGCTTGCTCAAGCTGGAGCAGGAGTTTAAAAGGGGGCCGTCATGTGGTGTATGTACCCCACGCTAGCCCAGCAACCAAAGGGTTAATACAGGCCCTGCCAGCCACTGCTGATTGGCAAGCTAACAGCTGGGAGGGTAAAAGGGCTGGGAGGCAGAGGGTGGGTGGCTAAGAGAGGAGTGAGCAGACAGGAGAAAGGAACTCCTGCTAGAGAGCCATCCAAGGACAACGTCCCAGAAATGGACAAACAGGCCAACAGACTCAAGAGCCTGCAGAGGCCCGAGGGAAGGTAGGAAGGAGCTTAGGGCACTGTCAGCATCTCCTTGTCTACCTTGAGGGCCCTGAGCTGGAACCCAGTGGAGGGGGCAGGCCTGGGTTCCCCTACCACTCCTGACGGATCTGAGAACAGAGAGAATGTCCAGATTACTGGACACCAGGAGTGGACTGATGGCCCCGCTGAGATGACTGAACCAGAGCCACATGCCCCCCAGTTTGGCATGGGGAGGCACCTTTGCACTGACGCACCACCTCATAGAGCCAGACAACTCTGAAGAGGGAGAGACAGCAGAAAACCAGAGACCTCCCTCGGGAGATCCGGAATAAGGGTGCAGCAGGAGTCCGGACTGCAGGAGAGATTCTGCTAGTAGCAGATATCCCAGGCCTGAGAGGATCTGGAGGATGACGGATGAGGCATTTGACCATATGCCCAGTGAAGAGGGAGAGTTGGAGCTTCTGCACTAACCACCCTTTTTGTGGAGGGGACATAGAATCATAGGACTGGAAGGGACCTCGAGAAGTCATCTAATCCAGTCCCCTGCCCTCATGGCAGGACTAAGTATTATCTAGACCATCCCTGACAGGTGTTTGTCTAACCTGCTCTTAAAAATCCCCAATGATGGAGATTCCACAACCTCCCTAGGCAATTTAGTCCAGTGCTTAACCACCCTGACAATTAGGAAGTTTTTCCTAATGTCCAAGCTAAACTGCCCTTGCTGCTATGTAAGCCCATTGCTTCTTGTCCTATCCTCAGAGGTTAAGAAGAACAATTTTTCTCCCTCCTCCTTGTAACAACCTTTTATCTATTTGAAAACTGTTATCATGTCCCCTCTTAGTCTTTTCTTCTCCAGACTAAACAAATCCAGTTTTTTCAATTTTCCCTCATAGGTCATGTTTTCTAGACCTTTCATTGTTTTTGTTGCTCTTCTCTGGACTTTCTCCAATTTGTCCACGTCTTTCCTAAAATGTGGTTCCCAGAACAGGACACAATACTCCAGTTGAGGCCTAATCAGCGTGGAGTAGAGTGGAAGAATTACTTCTTGTCAGGGCCACCGAGAGCAGGTTCGGGCCCCAGTGAAAAAAAAATTTCGGGCCCCCCCAGCAAGGGCGGAC